GGGAGACAGTGTATATTTTCTCAGCTCAGTGTTGCAGTAACCACGTCAGCTGGCTTGGAGCACAGGGAAAGCAAGTTCATGTCTGCACGGAGAGCGGGCACACCAGGCTTCCATCTGCCCGCAGAACACGACGTGGAAATAGCATGCAAGTCTTCTGTCTGACTCTGTTCGGCAGCACAAAGTGGAATATGAAGAAGGGTATTGAAGGGCAGAGAGAAAGGTTAACTATGGGAACTGAAGGAAGAAACTCCCGCCCCAAAGCAGTTCTAAATGAGCGTTCAGTTAATGGAGTTCATTCGGACACTGCAGCCAGGAATCAGCCTACAGCTTCTGGAGACCTGGGCTGCTGGTTTAGACTATATCACTGTCTTTGTGGTCTTCAGCAGGGTTCTGCATAAAACCACTTGACTCATAGGTCTTCAACCTTCTAATAAGGTTCTGGTAAATAAACGTAGTAATTTTCATACACAGAAAAACAAGCAACGCAACAGGACTTTTCTGAGATGGATATAGAATGCTAAGTATGATCAGCAAGCTGTAAATACCTCTAAGATAACTGTAACACTAGGGTACTGCTCTCTGGCTGCATAAATGTCACAGCAAGGTCCACAAATGTCTGACTGTTACAAAACCCCATGCTGTCACTAATTTACTATGAAAACACAGAAAAAGATGTTTCAAGTAAAGATCCCTCAGATCTCCAAATGAATGTCTGCGAATGATTTTTTTCTGTCTAGGCCATTTGGCCTTTTATGCAGAGACTGGGCTTCTTTTCACATTTCTGGCTTTGGTTCTACATTTACAAACACGCAATGACCAAAAATTCCAAAGCAGATGATGTGACATGGATTGCTGGAGAAAGTCAGACAAAAGAACAGGCAAGAGATCTGGTGACAAAAAGTCTGGTGGGGATGACTGTGCCATGAGTACAGCGCTGTCTCTCAAAAACAGGGTGCATTACATTATCTTACTGCACTACTCCTCGGGGCAGGACTGCTGTGAAGGAAAACTCTGGCCCACTCAGAAGGCATGAAAAAGAGAGACTGGACTTCCACCTGACAGCAGAGTATGAACACAATGATTTGGGAACTGAGAAACAACGGTACTTTTGTTGCCATTGTCAGATGAAGTACTCGCAGCAGTGAGGGGAAGTTCACGAGAAAACGCTAAGAACTGCTTTATTCTAAGAAGTAGAACTTCTTAAGTGATATTACAATGACACCCAGATCATAACGTGAAAATGACAGCCACGTGAACAATGAAACAGCACAAAAATGATACGCTTCAGGTTTGGTGACAATGATAGAGAAATTATCACAGAAACAGACTTTCAGTTAAACACCTTGCTTAGCTAGAGGAAATACTATGGAAAATGTCAGGCAAAATATAGACCAGAGGAAAACCACAGTGTATCACAGCATGATTAGGCAAGTGATTTTGTTACAATACAGAAAGAATGAGATGCGTGGGAAAGATGACAGCCACTTTCTAGACCTCTTGAAAATGCACCATGAAGATGGGGAGAGGAACCAGTAAGCCACATGAAGATCTGAGACTATGCAAACTCCAGAACTAGGCATTTTAGTCCCAGAACTCAGAAACATATTTCCTCAGAGTTGATCTACCCAACCAGTCTTTTAATACTTACTGACTTTTGGTGAAAAAGAGAACTACAGTATTCAATCAATTGTTAGTAATTCAAATCAGAGACAGAAACGTGAAAAAGTATCTTTGTAAATCCGCTAATACCGGTCATCCTGGACCCCAGGGCTTCAACGCTTCAGGAGCTCAAAGCCCATCTGCAGTCTTTCAAAGGACTGTTAAGAGGGAGGAAGGTGAGTACCCAGATCAGATAGAACGGCTCATTACTGGCATGGATTAAAAGCAGCTCTTCTGGCTACGAGCTTCAGGTACACCCTGTAGCATGCAGATAAAAATGCGTATCATCAAACTTATTTGGTCTAGAGAGTTATAACAGTGTCCTTTCAGACAAACGGAGACTTTAAATATTTTTTTTTTAAAGTGTTTAATATCTTATATTTTGAGTGCTCAGCATGCACGTATGTTAACCGAAGGAAAAAGTCTTATTCAATGGAAGCTTGAGGGAAAGGTGTTAAATCTCAGTTTCTCCATAAATGAGAAATATTTTCCAGTCATTATGTCTCTTTCATAACTTGGCATACGTACAACTACTCTGTGCTTTGATGTGCTCATTTTGGACTCAGAATGCTGTTTGCACAAAGAGCAAAGCATGAAATAAGCCATTAAAAGGGGCAGAACAGTAACTTTTAGGCCACGGGAAAAGAGCAGCGTATTTCCCAATTCTGCCAATATGAACAAAACCTCACATCTTTGCATTTTGTTGTATTTATCTCAAACTCACCACTGTTCTCTAAAGAAAGAGAAAATGTAAAATAACTTTGAGGGAATTTTTTTGCTGGTCCTGCTTCTTAATATAGCCATTCTTGCAGAAATACATGCCAAGGGTAGATTTGACATAAATGATAAGCCCCCAAGCACAAAAAAAGCAGCACACAGCTGAAGAAATCTGCAAATCTAGACCCATTGCGTGGTTTTCATGACTGACATCAGACTTCAAGCTTTGAAAAGACTATGAATATTAATTATCTGTGACCTTGGAGCCCTCAGACTGTTTCATCTGTGTTAATCGGTGCTTCGTAACAGATTTGAGAACTGGAAGATAATCTTTATTTTTTGTATGTTAGACGGAGGAGGCTCTGCTGGAATCACATCAGCAACTAAATCTGAGAAACAGAAGTTTTTGATGAAAATGAAGCTGGAGAAAGACTGAGGAGATCACAAAACCCCGTTCCTCGTGAACAAACAACCTCAAGCACGTTAGGACAATGCCATTGGAGAAGTTAGCCTATACAGCCTTTATGGGAGAGAGTCTTACTCTGAGTTTTAAAAAGCTTGGTCCCAATCCTATTTTAGCTGGCTGCACAGACTTCTGAATACAATACTGCAGGGTTACACATGAACAGCTGAGATCAGTCACACCGATAAACATAACAACATTTAGAATGCCTAGATATCTACAACCCAATCATGAAACCTATCGGGCTAATTATAAAATGCTGGTCTCAGCCAATTATTTCCATAACAGGTTCAAGAAGTACTTCCCAGGACTGACTGTGTTGCTTATCTTTCCCTTGGGTTCTGCAATCTTGCCCTATTTACAATACTTTATGTGCAAACCTCTTCATTCATAGCATTTCTTTCTTTCTCTTTCTTAAAAAAAGAGAAAATCAAAAATGCCCAGAGGCCAAATAACATTTTGTATGCAAGAAGCCAGGCTGGTATGTGTAGATGGAGAAATAACCTAAGTGTCTAACTGTTGCTGATTTCCGAGTTAAATGCTAGCTGCTACAGAAAATCATATTAGGTGTCTCTCTGCAGTTCTACAAGCCAAGGAAACATTTAAAAATCTGCTGCTTTCATGCTGAAAGCTCTCAATGCACAGAGGGTCAAAATGAAGGGATCAAACAAACTATATATTTTTTTTTGCAGGAGAATTTATCACTTAAGAAAATTGCAGCTGAACTCTTCCCAATGACAGTGTTTGTAACACGTAAGAGTAAGGGCCTGTTTCCACTACTGCTGAGATAACATGGCAACACCATTTCCAGAGACAGAGGCCTGCATTCAGTTGGCTCACAATGTGGGCAGAATGATCTTGGGTTTGGTCCTCTGCCCTGAAATCAAAATACATCTCCACAAATTATGGCCTCCTTAATCAAAAGTTTACCCGTGCAGTCTGGTAAGATGAGCAAAAGTCAGACTATATCTCTTCTTGAAAACTGGGAAGGCACCACATAATGTCTAATGAACAGGATTGCAGTGGGGGGTGGACAAGCTGTAAGAACTAAGCAGCTCTCTTCCTGCTCGTGTCAGTAGAGAAACACTCTAAGGATCACTGATAGCATAATGCTCCACTGCTGTAAGTGATAATACAAAAAAACCCCCAGCAATTCAGAGACCATGCTATCCCAAGAAACATGCTTTTTTCTCCTTCAACCTTAACAGACATGACAGTACAACTGTTCTTGATCTCCTGCCCACTGCAAGCCAAGTGTAGGAGGATCTGTTTACAAGAATAGAGGGACACGTACTATTTGCAATTTATAAAGGGGCTGAACTGCCTTCCATTTTAAAAAAGGAGCTCTGAAAGAAGTTAGTGAGATTGACAAAGAAAAACACCATAGGAACAAACCCACGTGGCAGTACTTCTTTGACACAATGAAATCCCACAAGGGATCAAATGATGCCCAGGGCTCGCAGCCCATGCTTTGCTGAACCACATCTGAAACTATCACAGTGAAAACAACTCCCAAAGACAGGCAGACCTGGAGGCAGACAGTAAAAAATGAGGATAACACAATATGCTTTCAGAATTTTTGATAAAGAAACAAGATCAGCAATTTGTCTGTTTGCACATATACTTGGTGAGGCAAAGTACCTGCTCACTCTGCCGGCCTTGCCCCACACAAGCAGGGACAGTCTGTCGGGGAAGAAAAGGTTAAGCTGCTTTCACTTGGCCTTTTTTAAGGCCTGTGGTAGGTAGAGAGCGGGATTGTGGCTCTTAGAGAACAATGTATAGCTTCCAAGCACAATGCTTCTCGACATACAGGAAGACCATACTTGCTATTCTTAGAAAGGAACAAAGGAGGTGAGGTCTGGATTAAGCAAAGCTCTTTTCCCTGCCCTTTTCACATTCACACACGAGTACAGAAACATCAAATCCCAAGAAACATGACCAGCACACTTTAATAGCAGTACCTCATCACAACTCCTTTTTCAGAGCTTGCTCTTGCATTTACACTTACTCCCTCTTTTCTTCTTCACAAACTACTTTCCACTTCTTCCCAGTAGAAGCAATGTTTATATGTAGTCTAGTCCAAACTGGCAGCTTTTGTTTCGCTTTTTCATTTTGTTAATGCTCTGAAATGATTATTCAAATCCGAATAAAACGTTCTTACCATTCCAGGTGATTTTCAACAAAGGCAGACATGGGGCTGATCTGTACAGTGTAAGTGTCATTGGCTGAATACTCAAACAGCCCATAATAAGGATTGAAGAGCTCCTGAGACAGAAGGAAGAAGAATTCTCGGGAGGGGCCACTGTAATCCAACCTGGAAAGGAAAAGACAGAAAAGATAAAATGAGGATCCTTACCATTCCAGTGAATTTCCTGGATTTGCCTACGCTGGTTGCTATCTTAGCACAGCAGTCTGTGCAGTCAAGTGTTTCTAACATGGTGTATCCCTCCTCTTAAAACTTGATCCTGAGCCCTGAACAAGTTGCGATGCTGAAACTTCACCGATACTCAGGTTGACCCGGGAAGAATCATAACTGGGACACATCCCTTATTTTTTTTTTGTTCTCCCTTGTTCCAAAGGCTTAACAAATCGGAGGTACAAAGCTCAGCCTTGCCTCAGCTGTGTGGCTAGCACGGGGCTAGATTTTTTGTGAGAGGGTTTGAACTGCCTGTGAACACTTGGGTTCACAGAGCAAACAGCCTGGACTGAAGCAGAAACTGCTCTTACTCTCCTACATGGAGATGCAGCCAAACCTAGTCCCAAACCTAGTCCCAAGGATGCTTTCTTAGCTATAGATATATGTGTATGCTGAACAAGACCAAGTCCCAACAGAACTGTGTCTCAAGATAAAATGATGATTCCTGAGTTGTTCCATCCAAGCTCTTCTTCTCTGATACTTTCACGTGGTGCACCTTCAGCTGTGCTTTGCTGTCGCATGGATTTGCTCTGTAGAGAGTCACTTCTTTTTCCTTTTATTTTTTTAAACTCAACTTTTAGATCAAGCTGTTTCCAATTACCTCAACTTGGGGGAAAAAAAAAAAGCAAAACAAGACAAAGTTCCACAAATGCATAGTGCATTAAACCCAACTGTGATGTATTTATTAAAAACGGATCATTCTCTAATACTGGTAGGTAGGTTTTTCATTATAAAAGAAACCTACATGTAGCAATATGAAGAAATGATTTGTAGCCACATGTCGTGTGCTGAAAGATTTTCTGAGGTGGACGCTACTGCTTGTACTTAACAAATCTAAAGTAAGAGGAAAGCTCTGCAGCTGGATCAGAACGCTCTGTACTATGTTTGAAGTCACAGAAGCCTAGATGCAAGACGTTGAATAATTGACTTGTGCAACTAGAAAGATGATAAGGGGCAGGCAGGCCCACCTTCCTCTGTTTTACATCTGGAGATTCAGTACTTCTCTTTCTGAGGAGCTGTAGCTCCAGGATCATGTGGTGAGACGAAAGCCATAACAGCAAAAAAGGATGGTAATAAGCCCACATGACCCTCCAGTGCCAACCAGGGAACAGATCTGGTTCAGTGGACACCAAAATACTGGGCTAAGCCTGATGATGTTTGGAGTAAAGAACTACAAGCAACATCTGTGTATATTAAAAACTCTTCAGGGGGAGACCAGGTATTGCATTTCTGGGCAACACATTAACTCATCATAAAGCCTTCAGAGTTCCTTCTCCATGTCCTTTTAGCTTTGAAACATGTGGGAAGCTGTGGCCATACAGCATCAGCTCCTCTTTTCAGTAGGGAATTGGTGTCTTGGAGTCCCTCCAGCGGAACACACATTAGCACTAAGCAGCAGAAACCCTGGAGGAATGTATCTTCAGATGTAAATGAATCAGTGAAGAATGACTGAATTTGCAAATCAAATGGGTTTTTAATTTCTCCTGAGGACACCATGCCACACACAGTAAAAGTTATTAGAGATGTGGGGTAAACATGACTTTGGCCAGCGTTAGCGTACTAGCACACTATTTTGCAAACACAGACGGAGGTGTGTTACGTGTTTATCCTTTACTTGCAAGCCAGAGGCAAAACCAGCTGCGAAAGAGGAGCTCTGTTGAATAATACTGAATCCATGGAGTATAAAAAGTAAGAAGTGAAAAAATCCCTTGATACTGAGGTCACTGAGACTCTCTTGGAGATTGGTGACTTCTGTTTTCCACTGTACCTAACACATCCCCAGACAAGCTCAGCTTGCCAGAAGCCCCTTCACTTGACGTGCCACCTCAGAGCTAACAGCGTCAGCAATTGCTGGACACGCCAAGAGCTGCCTGAGATCCTTACTGTTCTGGTGCCTTTGGAACTGAAATCCTACCCATGTGGTTTTGAAGAAAAAAAAAAAAAAAACTTTACATGCAAAGCTACTGAAATACAATTTCATGCCTTTGTTGTATCGAACACTGGAAGCATGCACAGTGGTCTTTCCATTATAAAAGTATGTCAATTAAACCTCAAAAACACATCGTAGCTCTTGAGGTGAGCCAGGGCGGTTTTGAAAGGTCCTGTTTACATTTGGAAACAAAAGCTGGCTTTAATCATACAGGAATGGCTCACTGATTTGTAAGACTGGTAGAAAGTTTCTTGAGAAAAGGCCTTCTCAAGAGACTTCTGTTCCTTCCACCTTCCAACTGGGTGAATTAAACTGTAACAACTAAAAGGCATTCATGCTTCTTACTTCAGCCAGAAACAAGAAATCCACATATGGCTAACAAATGATCATTAGATGGCATGCAAAGCAAAAATTTTTGAAGCAAAACCAGATCTATTGTGAAGAGTTAGAGTAACAAAGTGGATAAAGGTCTGGTCTCTAATTATAGTCCTGAGACTGATTCAGTGTGTAAACATTGGCCTGTAGTTGAGTTTTTCCTTCCAGCCAGTCAAAACACCTATGGCAACAGATGACATTAGATTTAACCACTTAAATTGTCACTTCTAGACATCGAGTTGGAAGGTGTTATAGGAAAACGACGTTTGAGTTAAGATGAATCTCTTACTCAGAGGCAAAACAAAACCAAAGGAACATTACGTAACAAGAGAAGCTCAGCCTTAGTCAACTCCGTGTTTTGCAACATAACAGCTACTTCAAAACTGAGAGCATTCTGTGGTTCCCTACCCTTCCTCGCCAACAAACGTGACGTAGAGTTTGTTCCGCTGGAGCTCCTTGCGTGAGTATGCCATTACCTGGTTAAAGGTGCCTTCCAGCAAGTGGTCACGCCGTATAATTAACCTGCAAAGGGAGGCAGAAATAAAGATCTAATGACTGAGTCTCGGGCAAGCTTGTGAGGCCGAAGGTAAACAAGAGCTGCTAAAGACAGACATTTGTTCTCAGAGAATGCAATAAAACGGCATCTGCTGGTGCGTGTGCTACTTGACCACTATGGGGTTTCAGTGGGTTGTTTCATCAGGCTCTTTCTATGTGCCTCAAAGGTGAATTTCTGCACAACGCTGTGATTACGTTCAAAGTGTTGCTAAGACTCTCTGCAACAACTTCTATGTACAAATTTATATGGTAGAGGGGGCTGGGGGTTTCCTGTGTATATGAGGTCACAGCTATCTGGAACTGGCCCCAAACACTTCCTGGATTTAACCCAGTGAGCGTCCATGGAAATACTGCTTCTGTGTGTGGAAGCAAAGGGAGTATCAGCCTCTGTTTCTACAACACATCTCTCACTCTCCTACCAAGCTCTAAAACAACTTAGTGAATAGTACTTTTTAACACCATCTGTGCAAGAAATCCTTCTTGTTCATAGGTTCATGGACATTTTAAGGCAGACCTTCTAAAATACAATTCATGTCTGCCTTGGATTCGACACCAAAGAGGGAAACCACCAGCTGGGACTCCTGAACTCCATAAGATTATTTTCATGACGATGTTTGCCTGGAATAAATTTCTTGGCTTCATACTTTTTTTTTTTTTTTTGCCACAACAGATATCATTTGTTAGGAAGCCAACCTGATGCACAAATTCAACCAGATGCCCAGGAAATATCTTAGAAGTACAAAGTCCTTTGGTGAAATTGGATAACTAGACTGAGCACAAGTAGGTACAGACTCAAAAGCCAACCAGCAAGACGCCTAGAAAGCAAACTCCACAACCAAATCACAGAGATCCCCAAAATACAAGAAGAGAGGCAGAAATCTCTCTAGTTCAAATCCAGGAGGGCTACTGACACAAAGAACGATGTGAAGTTAAACCTGCATGTACAGACTAAGTTTTGCAGGGTCATATTCTGGTCCTGAGTTATACTGATATGCAGATGCAAAGAATTTAGAGTCATTCCATCATTATAACAATGCAGTTGTTGCTAACATGTGGTGGACATTTGCCTAAACAGATGATTCTCCTACTTAGCAAATCATAGGTATTTAACATCTCTGTTAAATGGGTAGGAAATGGGAGTGTGAGAGAACTTGAATCTATAAGAAATAAAACTTCCACACAAAAGCCTCTTGAAGGTCACTTTTTTTGCAGGACATACGAAGGTCTTATCCTGATGGTTCACGTACAAAATGCAGTCTCCAGTGTCTTTTCCATTCCCTATCACTGTCTTAATGAATAATGATAAAAAACAAAGCAATACTGAGTTAGACTATTTGAGTGATTTGTTGTAATACTCACTTAATTTTACCTGGACCTTGCCCATACCCTTTGGCTTCAAGTTTTCGATAGAAATTGCGCAGCTTGGCTTCAAAGTCCCTCCTGTATGGAGAAGGTGCTCTTGCACTTGCTCTCTGCAGCCCTGGAGGGGAAAATGAACAGCATCGTAAGGTGAAGGGTGTTTTACAGCTTTCCAAATCATGGAGCTTACGTTTCCAGACAGAACTGGCAAATAAATGTGATAGGAATTTTTTAAAGGTACACAGTGTTCTCGGGATTATTTTTATTCTGCTTTAGTTCTGGCATCAATGGAGTTGTAAATTCCTATAACTCAGTGATTGCAATGACTTCCAGGGGCTGCACCTTCTTCACTAAAAGAACTGTTAAGCTCACCTTGTGTGTGCCCTTGTTTTGCCTCAGCCTTTACCTGTGATTGATCTCAATGGAAATTCAAGGATCAGAAAGGCATGAGAAGGGCTGACATGCATTACTGTCAGTCATGGCCAGCGGCATTTAGGTTTTCTTTCCCTTTTTCACTTGTAAGAGATCTCTCTCGTCTGCATTGTATAGGAGATCTCCTTACTTGCAAGGATTAAACTCAGAGCAATGCTTCTCACTGGAGCCTAGCACCCTAGACAAGCTGGGAATCGGGTTTCCCCTGCGTCAATCTGACTGTATATTAAACACTTCCAGCTATCAACACCAAACCCCTTTGTGGCATCGAGAAGAATTTCTGTCAGTAAGAAATACTAAAATTCCCTATTGTGATTCACACATACAACAGATTTTTTTTTTTTTTAGGAGTTTGGGACCTGCTTTGCTTTGAAGGCTGCATTCTCAAAGTATCTGATAATTCCTTTTGTATAAACAAGTGCCATGCTATAAAGGGTGAAAGAATGGGTCCATGAAATCCCATTTCTCTATCTCACTACAGAAGACAATAAGAACAGGACCTTTGATGAGAAATCTGGCAGCAAATGCTCCACAGGAAGGAAAAAAAAATCATCACACTTAGTGGGAGCCCAATGTATTGTGCTTGCCAGGATGGAATGACATTACAAACTGTCCCTGCTAGTAAAACAGAAAGGCATATTTACACACAGTGCAAAAAGGAATCCCTTGTGAAACCTCTTTCTTCTGTTAAAATTCCTGCCCACCCCCACCCTGCCCCTGGATAAAAGAGAATGGGTGTTCTTCTGGGCTCTAAAACCAGTGACAAAAACAAGCAAGCAGAAAGTATGTTGCCAGGAATGAGTGTTTTCACAAGAACAGGTAGAGAGATCAGAGCAGATCTTTTATCAGTCTCCCAAGCCCTTTTGTGCCAAATACTTAAGATTTCTGTCCTGTAGGAAACTTGTTTACGATCTGTCCTGATGCAGAGGAGGGGAAATGTTTTAACAATGGTGGTAAAACTCATCAATACGAAGACAACATTCTGACAGAACACTGTCGTCCTATAGACATCTTGACATCAAAAAACCTTTTAATTTTCCACAGCCACATCCAAGATTCGTAGTTCTCTTGTCCGTTAATTTTGTTTGAAATCAGATAACTTAAATGAATGTTCAAAGAAGCTCAGTCAAAAATGGATTTCTTCAGATCACATTTCTGTTGATTCTCTCAAAATGGCCACTGGACACTTCCATGCAGTGGGACCGTGCTGGGGGCTGTATATCTTGGCAAAAGGGAGACATTAGCTCCTCAAATTTCTATAGCATAAACAATAACTACAGAGACATAGCACAGCTGGAAATAACCTTCTCAGACAGCATGTCTTTACGGAAATTATGCTCCCTGTCAAACCTAAGTTAATGGGCTCAACACGGGAGGTCAGACTAGAAGATGATCCCGCCAGGTCCTAAAACAGACGTGGCTTGGGAAGGAGAGAAGTTCTCGTAACACTGAGCAGAGGAGACTGAACTTTACAGGGGTAATGAAGTATTGCAATACACCTTTAATTTGGAAGATGTTCTTTGCTCCTGTCACATAATAAGAATGTGCTTCCATGTCAGTGAGTTCTGCTTGGACTACACCACTCTCTTATCCTAATCCTTTCCAGCTACATCAAAAGCAGGAAAATACCTTCTTTCATATGGACAATTTCTGATCCCGGTGTTTCACTTACCACTAACATTTCAAGAGAGACGTAGGAGCACTGGTAACTGATCCAACAAAAAAGAAGCTGGGCCATATTCAGAATGGGCCCTGGAATTAGCAAGCTGACAGCTGATACCGGCTCTGAATCTGCCCCTTGTTATTAGGAGAAATACCACAAATGCAAGATTTTGTCTTTATTTCCCAACCGCCTTACCTGGGGAATTTTGGGGTGATGAACAGGGTGAGCAGCGAGGAGAGAAACTGTAACCAGGATGGAAGGCAGCCTGCAGTGGTATGTAGGACATGATATCCTCTTCAAAAAGGCTGCATGGAAGAAAGTCATAGGGAGAGATTCGGTTCACATTCATCCCATGAAGGAATGTAAACATGCAGAATGTTGCAAAGCCCACTGTGCCATAAGTTTGCGTGCATCTCTGAACTCGTGGACTCAAAAAACCCACAGGTTTCCCAAATAAGGCCCAGTCACCAGTAACGAAGAACAAATGGGAATGTTATTAGATGTTCTGTGCTAACAGCGGCTCAGCCTACTGACAGAGAGCAAAGATGGGAGGCTGTGCACGTAACAGGAGCACCTCCAACACGTTAGCAGTGAGAAGTAAATATACACACATCTGTCTCCCAGGCTGTTTTTCTTGGGTCGTACACTTTCACACAGCTCAGCGCTTCGACCGCTCAAATCAAGTTGGTGGGAGTAAGTCGTGAACTTCTAGCACTGAGCAGTGCTATTACAGCACGCAACAACCACCTGGGTTATGCAACATTTTCCCGTCTAAGACCAAAACAACGAAATAAGTCCTTATCTGTGCTGAGGAAAAGTAGCTAGGACCTAAACACCAAGCTCTCTGGTTCCAGTAAAAACTGAAGCCTTATCTACATTACCCAGGCAATGCTCACTGTACACTGAGATTTCATGCATGTGTGGGCAGCACTGCAGCAGTAAAACCAGGAATTTCACGAGCAGCTACATTATTGTACCGAGAAAGACAAGGGGTTTTTTTTTCCCCCCTTTCCTTTTCCCTTTTTAAAAAAAGGAAACAAGATTTTTCTTCCATTAAAAGGAAACATTTTGACCTGATTCTTTTTTGTCTGCTACCTGATGGTAACAGCCATACCGACTGAGCTGACTGGGATGGAGTTTACTGTACTGGTGGATGCTGCCTTCCAGGAAGTACAAATTGGCAGATGTATTGTGGCTGAATTGTTCTGGATGGCTATCAGCATGACTTGATTTAACAACATCTTTTCAATTATGCTGAGAAAGAGCCAAATAGCTTCCCTGGTACGGTAAGTAGCGACATCATGCTATTGATCAAATGGATTACCTCAGCAGAATTACTAAATCTGCATCACAGGACAATTTTTCAAGCCCATGTGTACCCTCTGTCCGAATGTAATGGATCTTCTCCCTGTAAACGTAAGTGATATTATTGAGAAGAAAGAAAAAAAGAAACAGAAAAAACCCACGCCATTATCATGGCATGAATTGTGCACAGAGTTGTCGTGCTTTGCTATTTTGCCAGTTCCTGTTTATCTCCTTACAAAAACGGCAAACATCTTATATGCCTGATTCATTTTCTAATCTTATTAACATAAAATTGCAAAAAAAAAACCCCAAACCCTTTTCCTGTCATTCAGTTCACTGATGCAAAAGCAAGAGATTTTGTTCTGTATTTTAGAAAACAGAATTATTCTTAGTCCTCCAAGTTCATGTGTATAACTCAGGTCACCACCAGCAGATTTTCTGTTAAAGTCTACAACTAGCATACCACCTTTTGTAACAGAATTTCCAATAATTTCACTTCCTTTCCTTCCATCAGTTTTATTTGGCAAATAACTCTCTAACGCATACTTGATACGAATTGATCACACAGAGATTATACAGTGTAAACACATGTTACACATTTAAAATGACACATTTTGCTAATAAGGAGTGGGAAACATAAGATAGGACCCTATCAGCATATTAGGATCATGGAAGATACATATCTACACCCCAGACTGTCAGTGTGTTTCTAAAGCATTGCAGTGCCCAAAAATATTTACTCTAGTATCAAGTAAAAATATTCTACCTCAAGACAAGGATGTGCTTTAATACCTTGCTGGGTGGGGCTGCAATGTTTTGAAGAATCAAGCTCTGTAAAAGATGGGCATTTGCCTCCTAGGAGTTTGGTAAATACCTGCTCTGTGAGCATTAGACAGTAGATTGGGATCGCTCCTGACCCAAAGTATAATCATAAGCAGTGACCTGGAGGCAAAGGGCTCAATATCCTGTTACAAATCTCATTACACACTGGCTAAGCTGTCTAGCCCTTATCACTAGTCAATTTTTTTTCTCTGCTCAGAAGGAGATAAAAGCATCATCTGTTCTCTGGGAAATGAGAATTCAAACTACAGCTGAGCAAAAAAAAAAAAAAAAATAGCCTGGAATAATTTGATAGTGAAGATAAAAAATTCTCAGTTACAGAAATGTACGGTCTTAAATACTGAGTGCATTTTTCATTCTGTCTCTCTCATTTTATTTGAATGTATCAGTTCCTCCAGGAAGGAAGCCTAATCCTTATACCCAAAGGACTCTTTGTCTGGCCCTCACAGGTGAGCAATGCCTCAGCGAGGCTACCAGCAGAACTTCCTGCACTGCAGGAACTTGAAGGTCCTTTCCTTGCTCCTCCTTCCCTCCTTCAGGAATCCTGCAGCCGTGCTTCTTACTGCACAGTACAAACTAGACTCTTGGTCAAACTCTTAGCTGGCGCATACTGGCATTGCTGAGACTGATAAACACCAGCTAAAGTTCTTGGCCAAAACAATTAATTCAAATTTTGGAATTCGAATGAGTTTAAATCATATTGGCAATTGGTTCTGTTTTCTTCATTTTTGAAAAAATCTAAATATGAAAGGAACAGGTATAAAAAGAGAAAGACACAATTTAACTACTTTGGAAAGGACTACCATTAAGTCAAGTGAAAAAGGCTAAAGACAAGAGTACAATCCACTTCGTAATAATGCTCCTTTCTATTTATAAAATCTGGGCGACTATGCCCATGATATGGGTTTAAATATAGCCATGAAGTAAAATCCCTGGTTCTGCTGGAGTTACTGGAGTTTTGTTGCTGACTTCCATCCAAACACAATTATAATTTTATCTTCTGAAAAGCAAACTGATAACTGTAGGTGAGGACAGAGTTTCTGCTATTCAGTAATAGTTACAACAGATATTAGATATGCCACTGTTTGCCTTTAGTTATTTTAGTTCTTCTTACTTCTTGAATGTCTGTGGAAAATAACCATAGTAACTACATGGATCCTGGTGGTCCACACCTACTCTTTAATGGTGACAGTTCCATATGGAGCCCAAGCTCATCTTTTGTACCACAGCTACTAGAACTTGGTTTTCCCCACTACAAGAAATCTTTCCTGGGACTTGGTTTCAGCAGTCTGGAAAAAAAAGCGGTACCTGAGTGCATGGTTTCTGGCCAAGCTGGGCTGACGCTCCTGCAGCATCTCGAAAATGTTGGGTTGGCGTAAAAATGCAACAATCTTGTCATTGTAAGCTGGAAAAGGAAAAAAAAACCCACAAACTCAAGGCTTTATTTACCTTTGAGGGGGCCTGGTGACATCACCATTACTCTGCAGGGGCACACTGACCTCGCTGCCAGTGAGCCACAGGGTAACATCAAGCAGTGTGTGTGTGTGGTCGATGAGAAGTTCTAAAAAGCACTTCTGTGAGCACTGCTCTGAGAAGAAAAGAGAAACTTGGCTTACCCAGAGGTAGCGCCTCGTGATGGTGCTGGTTTCGAATAGCTGTTACGAGACTATTGCCTGGTCTGGCCAACAGGGTGACTCCTCTGTTTCGAGAGACTTCAGAGGCCTACAACATCAGAGGAAAGGAAAGGAATGATCAGAATTGACCATCGGTAGCACATCAGTCAGTTAAAAGGTTTCTTATCTTCTGTGAGTTTCAGAATGGTCCATGATGCCGACTGGAGGACAGAAAGCAAGCACAAAAATTATAGCTTTATACTACAGTCGACTTAAAAAAGCTAAGTAATCCTGTGCTTCCAAATGGAAGTGCACCATTACCCACACCTATCCCACCTCTTTGATGCTGCAGTGAAGGCACCAGAATCCAGAATTAAATGCAAGATAAGTAAGGTATTGCAGTGATGGAGTTCTCTGTTCCAATGAAAATAAAATCTCAGTAATATCATAGAGTCTCCTGTTCTAGCACAATTGCATTTACTTCAAGGTTTTTACAGCCATGTTAATTTGAAAAGAGAAGAAACCCACAACGCTGTAACATGTTCATTCAGCATCGTTGAAGGGAAATTCAATACTGGAAATAACATGAGGAAGTTATATCTATGTAGATCACAGGGCAGAAAAAGGCTGTATCATGCCAAAAGCAGGTTGCCTAACATGCACAACCAGAAATAGAATTTGAATTGTATGCACTGGAAAGAGCTGATATAAAAGGAATAGGAAGAAGGAAATTTATCCCTGCCCCTTAATTGAGGTACCTAAAGAAAGCCACTGTTCTAAACCTGCTATCTAGTGAAGGGAAGCAGGAAGGCAGATACATTGAAAGGTGGGTAAACACGTTTTGAGGATATTACGTGAGGATATTAAAAGCCAAACAGTGAGGTCTGGCAATCTTCAGTAAGGCATTCCTGGGTAAGTCTTTGGGGACTTGTGCAAACTGAGGGGAACCCACCTGCCTGCAATCTTCCTCCAGAATATGACCAACAGAAGAACGATAGAATGGCTTGAGCTGGAAGGGACCTTAAAGAGTAACTAATTCCAACCCCTCTGGCATGGGCAGGGACATCTTTCTCTAGACCAGATTGCTCAGGCTCCCTCCAACCTGGTCTTAAGAACTTCCAGGGATGGCACATCCACAACTTCTCTGGGCAACCTGTTCCTGTGTCTCACCACCCTTATTGTAAAGCATTTTTTCCTAACATCTGCTCTAAACCTACCCTCTTTCACTTTAAAGACATTCCCCCCTTTTCCTGTCACTGCAGTGTCAGTACAGCCTGTATCAGGACAAGATGCATTAGGAATTCCAATTGCTACTCTACTGGGCTAACAGCTGCTCCTTTCTCACTGCACAAATTGTAGCACTTGGTAACCACTTGAGGAAGAAATTGCCCCTACTCCAATACTTTAAATGCTTAGTTCTGCACCCAAGAGAATGGTGCCAGCCCATTTTCAATGGTACGGTCAAATGCCAGGTCTTCCAACTGGATATAAATGAAAACCGAGAAGCTAAATGTGACTGGCAAGTCGCCTTCTGGAGCCCACAAAGCATAAAACGTTTATATGCAACAAGATACCGGTCAATGCACTTGATCCTTATCAATACGCAGGTTAAACAGTGAACAATCTTAACAATTCTAATTAAACATACTGTAATTTAAAACACAAAACTGCCGCGAAAGTGCACGGCGAATGTTTTGCTCCATCAAAGGGGTGATCTCTGACTCACCCTTTACAAAGACAAATCCTATGCCCTTGTTGCTACACATGGATTTACTGACCAGAAGATAGAAAGGGGGAAAGGGAGGAGTAACAGAGGAGTTAAACATCTGCCATAAAAATTAGCACCAGTTGGTATTTTCTCATCAGCTGGGAACTGTATGATACTTTTGCCCAACCTGGGCCTAGTTCCTCCCCTTGCTCATGTCACCTGATGTATGTTTTCTTCCTTTTGGCTAATTTTCCAGTGCCTGGATATATTTCTCCTAAAGCAAGAATTCTGAAAGGAAACATGTCTAGTGCCCTTGAAGAGAAACCTTCACTCTCTTTTTCCCAGTTCTGGGTTAACAGCTAAAGCCAGGTTGTAAGAAGCTAAAGCTAGGTTGTAAGAAGCCAGTTCTGTACACATCTCAATATAATAAAATTGCACACTCTGTGGTGCTTCTCTTCATCACCACGCTTAGGCATTGTTAATGCTGTGTTTGCTCTTTACACATTTACACCTCTTAACAATTTTTCTCTGGCAGCACAACAGGAAAATTCGGAGCTGTCTAATTAACTTTCATTTTCCTAACACTTCTCTTTCTAATCTTTTAGCTAATAATGTACAATTGATTGCTCCAGCTCAGTGTTCAATCGCAATCGCCTTGTCTATTTTGACTTTCTAATTGAAAGACCTAATTTCGATTAGCACATTATTCTCCAATCAAAAAAAAAAAAAAAAAAAAAAAAAAGGGTGGCTCCCAAATGATTTAGTGACTGGATTAGTCTAGTGCAAAGTAACCTTATAGATTTATGTTAGGGTTTAACAGCTGTGAAATTGATACTGGGATGTTGCAACCAGAGTGGAGAGTCCAAACTATCACAGAAGCCTTTCAAGATATAACACACTTTCCTGGGGTTTATATCACTGCTGGATTTGAGAGGTCCTTGCCTGCTTGAATCCTGTTACTTGCCTGTTGTGGTTCAGGTCAGTAAGATTTGTATACTGCTATATTCAAATATCTCCTCTGCTTATCTTGCTTAACCATCAACTCTTGCCTCTCCACTGCAGATGCCTGCTTATTTCTTCTTTCTGCCTTTAAAATATCTACCCTGTAATCATGTATGTTGACTTTCACTGCAGATGGAAAGTCCCTTAGAGGGAATGGAAAGCAATTCTGACCTGTTCTGTTTATAGCAGTGGCAGAAGGAAATGAATCACTCAGTGACCTATCTTCTTTTAGTTACTGGTGGCCACTGCAGCTACCTGAACTTGTCTTCCAAAAATCAGGCAACCAAGAGTAGCATCAACCACCTTTTTCCTGTAAAACATTGATACCTTAAAGAAATGCTTACCAAAGAATCTGTAGCGTTTTTGTCAAATTTACATATCATGCTCTTTAATATCAGTAATCTACATGGAAGTTTTTGCAGAGGTCCGTTATTTCATTACCCTGGCTCTCTTCTATACCCTCTCTGGCACCCACAAGCTTCATTGTTCTCCTTCAGGCTCATTTGACATCTGTACATAACGTAGAAAACTGCTGGTTGTCTTTCACGGTTCCCTCATGCCATCCTGGCGACAGATTCCAGAGGCCACACCATCTGCTCAGCAAAGAAACCAGCAGGCCTGCAGATAGCTGACACACGGCCAGGACAAAACCCCAAGTGTGACTCTGCGGACATGATTTACAGGACAAAAGAACATCCAAATACACTTGGAGGAAATGGCATAGAACACGAGGCTCTTAATCAATGGGTTGAATTGTAAAGGGTTGCACTTTTCCTTTGGAAGTGGCGGGCTTTTAGGCACCAATCCGAAGTCCTTGGATATCAATGGGAGTCCTTCCGGTGGAGCAGCAGATGCTTCCAGAGGGGAAGCTACTGACTACACTGTGGGACCTGGGCCACTGAGACTGTGAGGTGACAGTGCCATCCCAGACAGCTCCTGAGACAGAAAGCCCTGTTTCATTGGCTGATTGTGCCAAATCAGTGGCCTCAATGAACACTTTATAATTTCCTCAGAGAATCATTACTCACAAGTAGTAAATACTTTTGACTCCCTTCCCTGTACTTGATATTTTGGGTTTATTGAAAATTGATCTTTGTAACCGAGTCCCAGGCAAGCATGTGCCCAAATATGAACCATCCTGCAGGTGGCTATCACAGTCGTGTCAGTAATTCAACCACAACAGTAACACTAAACTGCAGGCTGTTGGCAGAAGGAAGCTGCTAAACTGTTGGGAAGATATGATTGAAATAGATCCATAGGTACACTCCTATCTTCAGAAAATATGTTTCCACATTCAGCCAAGATGGAGAAAGCATGCCCAAGCCACTCATGCCTGGTCTGCCTTTGATCCTGAAGAACTGACCTTGCACCCTAGTCAGCTCCTGATCCCAACCCCAGCCGGCAGTGAGAGGTGTCAGACAGATCCTGCTGCAATAAATTAATTGCACAAGCATTCCAATGGGTATTTTTCTGGAAGAGGAAGATCCTTTCACCATAATTCATCTCTACTCCTGTTCAGCACTAATCTCTACAGATCTTCAATTGTATGGATTTGCTATACGAAGAATCTGGTTGCTGGTACTTTTTTCCTCCTTAAACTCACAATACACAACACAGTATTTATGCCTCTTTCAATCGTGTCCATGGCCCTCAGTGATAAAAGTCATTCCCATGAAACGCAGGAAAGATGCTTAATGTGACTGGAAGCTAGGGAAGCAAACCTCAACCCACATTACTACACTACTGCTAGGGAGTATATAATTTCAGAGTACAGTTTGTCCCAGTGGGGACTGAAGAAACATATGAGGCTGCTGAAGTATCAGGCTACAAAAATAACGAATCACTCGACTTCAGTAAAGCAAGACCAAAATGTCATATATGGACTCTTCCTCTAAAATCTATTTTTCATCATTTTGCTTCAGTCAAGTTTTAATGCTTATTAATTTATTCTGGAAGCCATCAAAACGCAAAACTTCAGTTACCAACAAGCTCTAAAACAAACCCTTCAGAAAGCAGAAAAAAATCGCTTATTGTCTTTACAAGACAAAAATTCACAAGACAATCTGTTTCAACACTTTCCAGATAAAAGAAGTGCTTTTAGTTCTACAGAAGGCCGCTGTCAAAAGTTCCTGGATTGAGACTGGCACAGTTACCTCTCCAGCGCTGTAGCTACGAAGTCGCTGAAGGTGTTGCCTGTGAGTCAGGTGATTGGGGAGACGACCGTTCTGCAGCGGAATCCTGGGATCTATGAAGGTGGTAGCACGGCTGTTGTGGTCAACGAAGAAAGACTGAAAAGACAAAGGAACAGGGTTCTTTTATAAGGGGAGGGCCAACAGTGTGATGGCACTGTGGGAACGCGACGTGAGAACCGCTGGCAATTGTGTCAGAAATACCTCGGTTAAGCACAGTCCGTGGAAGACACCTGCAAACAAAAGGACTGTCTTACTCAAAGCTGGAATTGCTCGTGGAAAATACCTGAATCTGTGTAGGTCAAAATCATGTGTAATGGCCACAGTGTAAACAAGACAGAAGAGAATAATATTATTGGGAAACAGTGCTTTAGCCTATTTGGCAGTCCCAGAAGTCACTCAGCAAAGCTTCACTGGACATAGAGACAATGAGTCAAATTTTGCAGGCACAACATACCTACTCTGGCTCAAACTGTTTTGTCAGTCCAATGCTGCCTTGGCTGTGCCATGATATTTTGCAGAAAGCTAGAAATACTTTCAAACATTTGTTCTTGAAGTTCTTTTTCCTGCTTCTAAAATAACTCTGCTTGCTGCTTGTGTTGTTTAAACCAAACCATCACCAATTTTGAGTCAAGAAGGAAGGAACCTTTATTAATCCTGTAGCCTGACGTGGTGCGTTAAACAAGCGATGGGTTTTGTTGGCACTCTTACCTTGCCCTGCTGGTCAGTTTTTATCTCCCAGCCACGAGGAAGCTCCAGTCGGGTATCAGCAAACATGTTGATAAAATTTACCAGGTCTCTGTTGTGCTGATACCGCTCAAAATTACGAGCATCTCTACGAATCTTCAGGATCATATGCTTCAAGCAGGTACTGTT